TAAGAACACTAAAGTGTCTTTCACTTAATGAATGGACAAACAAAATGTGATGCACAAAAATATCTACTATAAACTATAATCCCATTGTTATATATGTGCTATTATATTACATGTAAGTAGTATATTAATTATAATAATCGCCCAACATATGTTATAAAATACATTTTGTATGACATATAGAATAAATATAAATATTTTACATTCAATAGGATATATATACTGCCTTTTATGATAAAAATAGGTGAATCTAGGGGATATTATTATTTTATATAAGTCAAAGACAAAAAGACATAATTAATTGGCTCACTTACATATAGAATAGAAAATAGTAAAAGCCACAGAACAGAGAATGAATGGCACTTATTTGTTAGGTCCTGAAGAATGAGGGAAAGGGAAAGGCTACAAAGTCACGTTGGTTCTTTGTAAGTCGTTGTAAAGTCTGCAGAGTTTGGAAACACAAAATGAATGTTTTCTGCATTCTAATGTACAGCATAGTAGCTACAGTGAATATGGCTATATTGTATACCTGAAATTTGCCAAAATGACTATATTGGACATTTGAAATTTGCTAAAAGAGTAAAACAAATATTTTAACCATAAAATAATGAATAAGGAAAAATATTCATTATCTGAAGTGATAGATGTGTTAATTATTTCAATTGTTGTGATCACTCCACCATATATACACATATGAAAACTTCAAATTTTATGCCTTGGGTAGATGTGATTCCTGTTTTTCAATTACACAATAATAAAGCTGAATAAAAATTAAAACAAGAAAACATATTAATGGTACTACTCAAATACGACTAATTTTCAATCAATTTAACAGTTTTTGCTGTTATTTTTGCGTATAGAATATATTTCAGTAGAGATTGACAGTTTGATTATTGTGTATTCTATATGATTGAAATAATTTGAGAGGCATAGCTATGTTATAACCCCATGCATCTATTTCATTGACAATGTCATGAATACTTACAGACATATAGAATGATCTCATATCTGTTTTCTCTCTCCCTTTTCCTACTCGAATATTCATTCTAAGAATTGGCCTGTTTGAAAGTACATAATATAACATATTGCTTTTCTTTTGGAAGCAAAGTGAGCTTTATTTACATTTCATTTAAGTTTTCAATGACTTGTTCTGAAGACACTTTTCTCATCTTGGGTTGTGAGTTCAGATGTCATCTGAAAACCATAGGTCAAATTGTTTAATCACAAAATTCATCTATATTGTTGGACATGATTTTTATATGTACTTTTAAAAGTTTTTATTAATTTTATAAGATATTGGAATTCAGTATGGTATTTTCATACATGCATATAATATATTTTGATTATTCTATCCCCTTATACCTTCCTTTATACTCATAGGGAATTACTTTATTGTTGCATTGTGTTATGTTGTATTTTTGGTTTTCTTGATACAGGGTCTCTATATATTCCAGGCTGACCTCAGCTGACTCATGGCTATCCTCCTGCCTCCACCTTGTGAGTGCTGGGATTACAGGTGGGCACCACCCTGCCTGGTGTCCAAAGGTTGTTATTTTGGTAAGAAAGTTTTTGCATATTTCATTTGTGCTCAGACTGGATTTTTCCTTTTTGGTGATTTGACCCCCATGTTGTTTAATTATGATATTTCCTCCAGAGAGTGTGTTACTGTAAAACTTTCTACACAGTTATTCTTCTTCTGGCATCTCTGGAGGTGCCTAGTCTACCCTCAGCATTATGACTAAGGTCCCAACGAGTTCAATTAAGGAAACTCAGCCTTTGAGGTGTAGTGACTAAATGATTCAGCAGCATGTGCTGTGGTCCCAATACAG